TCATTCTTGACGTGCCAAACTTCTTATTACATCTTCGTTGAGCCTAAAACAGTAAAATAATTCTCTAAGATTTTTTTTAATGTTTTAGGAAACCTTTGTTAGAAGCCTTTAAAACTTACGTTAAATTATTAAAATCAAGCAAAGAGTAAATAATCTCAATATAGTTTGTTTGAAGTGTCTCATTATCCGTAAATAATAAAAATAGTCAAATATATGAAAAAAAGGAGATCACCTTCATCTTGAAATATTTCTAAACGAAGTTTGAAATATTTTAAATTTGCTGTCATGGAAATATTATTCTTAATATTTGCTGTCATGGAAATTGCATTGTTACAAAATGTCTTATTAAAAAGAAGACGAAATCTGATAAAATGAAATATCTTATTAAAGCTCACTAAACAAACTTACAGTTTAAATGATTAGATAAAAAAAGCATTCTAGAAACATGCTAATATAGGTTATCATAAATTAAAAAAGCTGCTGTGATTTTACTACTATTGATTTTATTGCCATAACTTCCTCTTTCAGACAGTGCTTAAATTATAAATTTATTCTCTACTTTATTTTTGCCTACACTTTGAAACTGTAGAAGATTTTTTCTGCATTTCTAAATTACGAAAAAAAAAAACTATTAATCTTATTGCATATACTGTTAATTCACTAAGAGTCTCAATTAGTTCCCTAGTTTTAATAGTCATTTATATTATTAATAATTATGCACACAAAGTTATAATGAAGAAAAGTTTAATTAAGAATTTAAAAGTTTTTGCTGTAAAACTTATGGAATTTCTACTGACAAAATCCAAAAACATGACAGAATTCAAGTCATTTTTTTTCGGTGCAAAATAGTATTTTATTTAAAAGGGAACAATATTGACTTAATATTGACAAGATAAATGATTCTCTAATCGCTAACACCAATGACAGGAAAAAAAAAAATTCTTTCGTTTTTTTCTTCTTTCTTTTCCAGAAAAAGTTAAGTACTAAAATTGTTGTTTTTTCATTATAAGGCAATCGCATAATATTCCCGTATCATGTAAAACTTTATGAAGTTATTTATCTACCGTTTTACAATTATAAAATTAAATAATAATTAAATTCTATTTGTATTTTAAAAAGTAATACTCAATTGTTCTATGAATTTTGGGAACATTATTATAGAACTCCTCATAATGAACGAATGCAACGGAAATAATTAGTGCAAAATAGGAGCTAAAAATTCTTTTAAGTATAAATAACAGGGTGCGTAGCGTTTTTAAAAAGTGCTTAAAGGTGCTTATTTTCGATTTTTATTTTTTAAAAACCATTAAAGGTGCTTTTTTCATTGGATGTTTTTAAGAAGTGCTTAATTTTCCCTTTTTCAAAATGAGATTTTTCCTTTACCATGTTGATTTTCGCTACGAATTATGCAAAAAGACGCAGTTTACATTGTTATCTTGTCAATCAAAATCGCTTCCAAACCCGACAGGAAATCGCTTCAGTTAGTGAAGGAATGTCCATCCCAACCTCTTAGGGAGAGAACATTGTGACGGGAGCTGCATGTAATGGACATTTGGAGTCGAACACCTCTTAAGAGGCCATTGCTCACACAAACACATAAAGCTGCGCGACTTCAGTGGGCTAGAAATCACCGAACGTGGAAAGTTGCTGACTGCGGAATGTACGGTTTTGCCTTTATTCAAATGACGCATGTCGTCGAGTTCACTGAAGACAAGATGAAGCATTTCATTCTGACTTTGTGCAAGGTTAGGTTGGTTCAAGCCGGAGGTAGGTCTGTCATGTTTTGAGGTGTTTTTCTTATTATGGATTTGGCCCCCTTACTGAGGTAGCTACTAACATGAACCAACATGTTTATTTGAGCATTCTGGATGATCAGGTATTGTTTTTCTGTCAACATCTTTATGACGAGTACGCAGGTGATGCCTCTATTTTTCAAGAGGACAACAACAAAGTTCATTATAACAATGTGTTTTATGAACACTCAGTTGCGTCTAGACTGGTCTGTAAAATCACCTGGCTTGAACCCCATTGAAAATTTGTGGGACATGTTGGAGCAACGAGTAAAACGGCGAAATCAATATCCTCGCAATTTGGTGGATTTGCACGATCAAATCCTCAGCGAGTAGCTTGAGCTGGATTGGACGTACCTCCAAAACCTTGTTAGATCGCTTTCTAACCAAATTCAGGCGGTTTTCATATCCAGAGGCGGTGTTACACGTTATTAAAGGATGTTTTTTTTTATGATTTCTCTAAAGGGTGACTTAATTTTTTGTCCGGTGTGCTTATAACATTTCTTTCAATTTGTTTTTGTGGGATATCTATTTCCTTGAGGAACGAAAAAGCTGTTTGCGCTTAGCCTAACCCTTGATGTGCTGGTATTGGCCTACTTTACCCGACAACATCATTAAAGAAATAGATATATAGCAGAGTGAATTTACGGAGTTGCAGAAAGCAGGAAAAAACATAGCTCCTTCAGAAGCATATTTATTTGACAAACGATTAGATGATTAGAAAAAACATAATCATAGTTACACATAACAAATTCTTGTGCCGGAGTACGTACTCAACTTCCTCGAGAAGAAACTTACATAGTAGCTTTACCAAACCGAGGGAGAGAGAGAAACATGGTTAAGTCTCGACCTTTTAAACATCGAGATTCGGCGACCAATTACAAGCTACTGAGCATCTAGCATAAATTATTTTACAAGCAGGTGAAGAGTTGAGTATAGTTTGTCTAAAGTAAGAACTCCCCTAGCCATTCGTTTTGACCCTTGGCGATGACTATGGTAACGAGGTATAACTATTTCAAGTAGGGGTGTGGGGCCATTGTTTAGGACAGGTTTTGGCTCGGGCCGGTGATATAAAGGGAATTTTTTTCTTCGATTTATTGTGTTAGCCCTAGAGTGAAGAGAAGCTACCATCACAGAAATGCGCGATTCTTGTTTCCATAGCAGCCTCAGACTTCTTGACGGAGGAGTTCTTACCCTAGACAAATTATAGTAACTGACTTCTTTCGTGAGAAAAACATTGTTTCACGAGCGTGGTTAGCACTCCCACTGAACGCCGGACATCGAACTTTTATGACGTCATCCCGTGACTTAACTAGAGGTAAACAACGAGCTGATTTGTCTCTAATCATCCCCAACATAATTTCGCTGAAATTTGCCGCACCCGTAAAACTTGACTAAAAAGAAATACTTTTCAAATGTATACAAAATTGTACTGTGTACAATTGTGCGTGATTCAAATGCATCACAATAGCAGACGCATTATGATAATAAATACCATTTTAAAATACTCGCATTATATGTAAACCAAGTGATTAAGAATCTAAATACATGATTAAAATAAGTTATCAAAATGCACAAAATTGATGAAAAGAATCTTACTAGGCGCAAAATTGTACCATCTAGAACAATCGCAATCACATCACGTCGCTTTATTGTCATTTGATGTGAAATACTTAAATATTATTAAATCAAATGATCAAACAGCTAAAAATCCTTGCAATAATTCAAAATAATAATAAAGTAAAATAAATCTCGTTTTGTGCAAAATTGTTCAACACAAAACAATGACGAAAGCATCCTGTTTCTTTTTGCTAATTTTAAATTTCTAAAATTTTAACCTATCGAATTAATAAATTGCTAAAAACCTTTAAAAAAAATTTAAAAAAAATAGATGTAAAAAATAAACAAATATTCTCGTTTTGTGCAAAATTAAAGCTTAAAATGATGGCGAACGCATTATTTCTTATGTAATTAATTTATAATATCCCAGTTATAAAAAAAAAATCTAATGAATAAACAGCTACAAAATGTTAAAAAAGAACGTTAGGTATAGAATAAATAGGGCAGTTCCCGCACTCTATTATCCACGTGCTCATCATGTTGCATCATTTTAGTAAAACAGCTCTAAATTTCGAAAACATATTTTCGTGAGTAAAAACAATACAATTGACCTTCAGCTGAAAGTGGGGATAAACTTGACCTTGAAGATAAATCGTTTAAGCATTTCGCCCTACTCATTCGTTTTAGAGAATGACTTGCATATTTTTCTTTAACTTTTTTTTTTCTTTACTCACGCCTGCAGTAGAAGAACCGGGAGGGGGGGGGGTACTTTCGTCGATCCTTGATTCGCAAAGATGAAGAGTAGTAACATTTTCGAGAATTAATTCAATAAAATAGAATTTTCAAGTTGAAGTTATATAAAAAAAAANAAATGAAAAAAAAAAAAAAAAAACAGCGAATGGGCCGTCACATTTGATACACACACATAATTTAATGTCTTAATTTAATGTCAAAAATTTAATGTCTTAAATCATAAACGTTGCTGCGTATCCCCGCGAAATAACAGTAATGCAATTGCTCTGAAACTATTTTTATGCAACCTTTTTCTGTGTGAAAAAAAATCATATTTTGTTAATAAATTTTTTCAGTTTATAATGTGTAGCTGGAGTTGGGAATATTGTGAATGTTTGATCTTATATTTTTTAAACTCTGATGTACTGGGCTATCCTTTATCTCAAACGACTAATTGTTAAATTTCATTTATGAGATGTAATGATGTGAAATATAAAAATTATTTACTTTTAAGACTACATTTTTAAAGTTTATTCAGTTTTCATAACAGAAAATTTAAAAAAAAATATGTTGTAAAAATTAAATGAGGTACTTAACAAGTTTTAACAATTTCCTCTGGAAATGAGTTAGACAGAGAAGAACATTTTATTACAAAAATATCAGTTTAGTTTTTTGCCAGTAAGGCTCTCTTGAATGCTTTGAATGTGTTTCTTATAATTATGTCTCCCAAGTCCTTTACATAAAGTATGACATATTATTTAAACATTTTTGGAATTGCTTATCTATAAAATCTAACCTTTAGTCTTGAGGAAGTTTATATTAATTAATATTTGATATCTATTTTTATTAAATGAAATTTTATGAGTAAAAAATCTTTTTATATAATTTTTAATATCATAATAATTTTATTATTTTTAGTTTGAGTATGAAATGATCACAAAGTTGGATACATTGGTGGAAGGTGGACGAGGTGATGAAGAATATAAAGAATTATTTTTGGACATGTAACTATGCATTTTACTCTTCATTCTGTGTTCTACTTTTGATTTCCTAATTCGAAATTTTAGAATTATTTAATTTATGGAAGTATATTTCTTAAAAAAAGTAATATTTTAACAATTTAATATCATATTAGTGAAAATGGGTTAAATTCAAAGCTATTTGATAATTTTTTAATTAATTATTTCAGGTGTTAGGGAAAAAAAAGAACACCATAAGTATAAAACAATTTAGTTCATTTTATGATAAACATAACTGCAGCAACAAAATCATCAAGTTTCTGTTTATTTCTTTGGTTGCATCTGATTTGCCATGAACTTTTCTAACTGAAAAGATAAAGATTTATAAATATGTTTTGTTTGTTTAAAATTTTTTTGTGGTTTTACATTTTGCATGTTGAATTTTTAAAAGAAAATGCCAGTTTGTTGTTATTTAACTAATAAATTTTGTTACTTATGTTTCTAGTAATTTTACTGCATGGTTCTGATTTTTAGCTTTGAGAATAACATTTAGTTTCAAGAATAACATTTAATTAATATTTAAATATAGAACCTTTAGTACTTTTGTTTTATATTTTGCTTATAATTTTTCCCAATGAATTAATTAGTGTTGGTGGACTGTGCGAAAATCATCAAACAATGCATGAAAAAGGCATGGGTTTTGTTAGAACTGTTGTAAGATTAATGAAAAGACTTTTGGAATATCGTGCAATAGTCACAGATGAAAATAAGGAAAATAGAATGAGTTGTACTGTTAATCTTTTGGTATGAATTTATTATTTTATTTTGTTTCCTTTGCTAAATATTTTATATTCATTTGATCATATATATGTTCTCCTTGTAAAATTGTGCAAAATTTCAAAAAAACTTAAAACTAATAAAATTTGTAGACATTAAAATAATTTAGTATTTACCATTAGGGATATTAATTGGTATTAACAAGTTACAACTTGAATTTTGTTGCATTTAAAAGCTTTAGACAGATATTGTTTAAGATATATTCGGTCACAATTTCTTTAATATTATATATATATATAATATTACGGGAACCCTACATTGTAGTATAGAATATTTTATTTTCCCCTATGTCTTAATAGCCAGTCTCTATTGGTCCCCACATTTAGTTTGAGATAATAGATCCTTGCTTCTCCCTACAACAAACCAATTTTTCTTTATTTATTTAATTGAAAAACTTGTACAAATTAATCTTAAGTTGATAATAGTTCATATTTTAATATTTTTTTTTGCTGGCCAGGTGGCCGAGCGATTAGCACGCCTGACTTCGAAGCCAGTGGCCGCGGGTTCGAATCCCGCTCTGGGCATGGATGTTTCTCTCTCTTGTGTTGTCCTTTGTTGTGTGTGATGTGTGAATGTGGCCCACCCTATGAACGGGTTTGTGGCAGTGTGGCGTGGGCAATGTTACTTGCCTCCGTGACTTTGGTTCACAGGTGCCCACTGGGTAATGCAAAATGAGTAACACCTCTGGCATCTTCTAAGGCGAAACATATAAAGTCCAGTGCCTGCCATTCAAAAAATTTTTTTTAATTATTTAATTAGAAATTCTGGGATCATTTAATTTTATAACCAAAACTGAATAGTCTGTCTCTATTTTTGTGCTTATTAAATAATCACTGGATTAGTTAATGAGCCAAAAAAACTTTGAATTACTTAATGAATTTTGTGGCTCATTAAATAACCATTTTCCTCTAGAAGTTAAAATGTAAATTTCTTGTATTATAATATAAGATGTTTATCACTTGAACTATCTAGAAACTTTGTAACATTTAAATTAGTGGTTCCCAACCTATTTCAATTCATTTCCTTCTTCGTCATTGCTAGAAACTCATTCCCCCTTCTAAAAATCTAAAACATATATTTATTACAGTTATTCAGATTTTGATTATTCTTTTAATATGTTTGAAAAATTAAACTATAAAAACTTATAAAATTATGATATGCCTAAAAACCTTCATAGTTTTATATACTAGCAAACTAATTGTTTAAGGGAATTAAATTAATACACCAATTATTAAAAAAATTAATAGTATTAGAAACAAGCATGTTGTTAGTCGCTTTGTTTAATGGGATTCTAATGATTGTTATTTTTTTTTGTTGCTAATTTGATACATGGAATGGTATTTGCAAAAGCACAATACAAATCATTTTAAACTTCTAATTAATTTTTTTAAAATCTAATAGTTTTAATATATAATGTAAATGAAAGGCCCTGATCCTCACAGATATAACTTTGCAAACAATAACAATGTCCTGAGAGCTCTTCCTGTCACTGTATGATTTAAGCACACATTCCCTAAAACATTCCCTAAATTCATTTTCTGATAATACATAGGAATCTGTACTTGAAATCAAGTGTAGTCAGATCTGAACTAATTCCCCCTTAAAACCCTAACATTCACAAACTTGTGAATGTTAGGGTTTGAGAGTGGGAGCTCCCTCCTAGTTGTGAACCACTGATGCAGCTGTTACAAAGTGACTCGCAATGAAAAACTAAACTAAGCACTAAGTTGTTATGGGGTTAGTGATTAGGTTTTCCTTATTAATATCTAAAAGAAGAATCATTTGCAATAAATACAACATATTTGTTTCCTTAGTTAAGGAATAACTAAGTAATATTTCTATCAATGATATTTAATTACTAAATGTTTAATAGATAAATTTTTTTATTTCCTATGAGCTGCACAATTAGTCTTCCCGATGAGCAGACATAGTGCATTCTCTAGAGGTGGTATCCACTCTTTCAGGGCCACCACAATGGGTGAGATACCGTTGGCCATGTTAATTTGGACGTCTAGTTTCTGCCACACTAGATGGCAGCACCGAGACTCTATTTGGATGCTAAAGTGCACTAGGAATTTAATTTTACCGGAAATGCCAAGAGCCAATAAGGCACTCCAGGGATCTTTTACATGCCGCATAATCATACGACATGGCCGCTAAGGATTTTCTGTATCCCAAAAATCCGGTGTCTGGGCCAGGGATCGAACATGCAGATTTACTAAATAAAATAATAGCTTGAAAAATTACATTATTCTAGCTTCAAAATTATTTTTAAAATTATATTATATTATATTGTAATATTTCTTTAAAAAAATTGACTCCACAATATTATTGATATTTCTCTCCCTAGGAATTCTATCATGAGATCAATCGAAGGGAGATGTATATTAGATATCTGTATAAGCTTTGTGAACTTCACCTGGATTGCGAAAATTATGTAGAAGCCGCTTTTACTTTAAAGCTTCACGCTAAATTATTGCGGTGGAGTGATGAGCCATTATCACAGCTGTTAAAAAATGACAAACATCCCACCTGTGAGACTCATCGAGAACTGAAGGAATGTTTATACTATGACATTATCAATTATTTTGATAAAGGAAAACTTTGGGAAGCCGGTCTTGCCCTCTGTAAAGAATTAGTCACTCAATATGAGAACGAAGTATTTGACTACATTCAACTGAGTGCTTTGTTAAAGAGAATGTCAGTATTTTATGATAACATAATGAAGCAAGTTCGTCCCGAACCTGAATATTTTCGGGTGGCTTATTACGGTAAAAAATTCCCTACGTTCTTACAAAATAAGGTGTTTGTATATAGAGGAAAACCCTATGAACTTTTAACTGATTTCAGTAGCAGGCTGCTGAATCAGTATCCGAATGCACAATTGATGACAAAACTAGCTCCTCCTGGTGAGGATATAACAGAATCAGATAAACAATACTTGCAAATTAACAAAATCGATCCTGTGATGCACGAAAGGGAACGTTTCAGGAACAAGCGTGTTCATGACCAGATTTTGAAGTACTATAAAGTAAATGAAGTTCAGAAGTTCACATACTCTCGTCCCATAAGGAAAGGCGAGAAAGATTCTGACAATGAATTCGCCACGATGTGGTTAGAAAGGACTAATCTTGTGATATCTTATCCTCTGCCCGGGATCTTGCATTGGTTTCCTGTTACTAATTCTCAGTCAATTGAAATCAGTCCCTTGGAGAATGCCATCGAGACAATGGAAAGCACCAATAGGAAGATTTGTAGCCTAGTTCTTCAACATAAATGTGATCCAAATCTTCCAATCAATCCACTCAGTATGCTTCTGAATGGCGTTGTCGACGCTGCTGTGATGGGAGGAATTATAAATTATGAAAAAGTAAGTTTGTTTTGTTTACAATAAAACATGTGTTACCATTTCGACCATTATCTTAAGTTTGATTCGCTTAGTTTTTCAAACTCCCATGTAGTTAAAGCTCTGTTAGATATTTTTGATGACAATATACAGTGCACCAAATAAATAAAAGTATTATTAAGTTGAGAAATCAAACACCAGACTTACTTTTTCTTAATAAACATAAATTTGTTTGGTGGATTCTGAGTTTAGATCCTCAAATATGGTTAGGGGTAAACAGAATTTAAAAAATATGGTCCACTAGTTTAGTCAAAAATTTGGTTCTCTTGTTTTTAATTTCACTTTTGTGCTTAACTTGTACATGTAAATTAGTAATTTTTAAATTTAAGTAAAATAGTAATTTTAAAATTTTTAAAATGCTGCTTATTATTTAAAAGCATTCAACTCCAAATCAAAATCATATCACTTCTAGAAAATTCTTTAAAATTGGAGTTTTTTTTTAAAAAAAAAGAGAATTCCTTTCAAAACAGATTTTTAACTCAGCTTAATGCTTGCTTGCGTATTTAAATAAGTATTGCTGCTGAATAATGAAGTAAGTCTCATTCATAGTTGTCAGCATTAGTTTTTTCTTTTTTTAATAATCTAATTTCTTGACTTTTTTATTTTTTGAGTTAAAATAGTGAAGAAATATGTTATAAATATCTATATTTTATTAAAGGTTTGCTCCTCCTCAAAATAATGAATTAAAAAATACATTAGACATAATAAAAGCATTTTATATTCATTTACCATTAGAGCTCCTAATGTTTTTTGTGTCTAAGATATTATGGATAGTATAAAATATATATTCTCTCAAGATTTGCTGGAATTTTTCTGTTTCTTGTTAGTAATTATGATAACCCTAAGCTATTTGTATTGTTTAAATTCTGTAATTTGTTGCTTATAGTGAATTAATATTTATTTATATCAAGCTAGTATTAGTACTTCCTATAACTCATTCCTGATGTTTTAATGTTTCATTTTAGGCATTTTTTACGGATGATTACATTTCAAAGCATAATTCTAGAAAAGATGTTGAGGGCATACAAAAATTAAAAGATGTAATTGCTCGACAGGTATAATATTTATTTACTATTAATTATTGTTATTTGTCACATTTTTGTAGAGAGCAGCCGTGCAGTCTTGATTTACAAACCTAAAATAAGACTTCGTAGCTTGATGATTTTAATGAGCATTTTAAGCTATACATTCAATTTCGATAACAAAATTGGATAATTTATTAAAAACTAATTACAGAATTTTGACTTGTGACAATATCAACAGTGACACAGTTTAAAAAAATGTTCATTCAAAAAAATGTAATGTTACCATGTTACTTAGGGCAAAGCCTACCAATTCTCTGAAGATTTGTGAAAATATTAAGAATTTCACGGAAACACAAATATTTAAAAAAAATGTATGTATGCGGGAATGCTGACTTTGCATTTCATATATATATATCCGTTGTTTAACAGCCGGCCCAATTTTGGGCTTACGACTACTAATGTTCAACTCCGTAGCCTTGTAATTTTGAACCAATCCAGAAGACAAGGAAACTCCTGCATCAGTACCCCCAGATGTATTGATTTGTTATTGAAACATAGAGGACTTTGCGACTTGAGAGATTTAACGTGCACCAATCACCATTTACTACACGGGGAGTCTTCGGCCGACTTGGATCGAACCCACGAACCCTTGGACATGGTCCCAGTGCCCTGCCAACCCGGCTATCCTGGTCTTTGACTTTACATTTTGTGGAAAAGTTTCTTCTAAAGATAGCAAATGTTATAATATATGATTCTTTGTTTGGTAAATTTTATTTAAAGTTATTTTCCTCAGCACTGTATTTGACAAGCCACTTTATTCTAGCTTTCTTGTTATGAGTGCTGTTAGCGAAATTTTCACACTCTTCATAATAGCTGTATTTGCGTTTTAGCTTTAAGTTTGGTTAAGAGTTAACTGTGTTACAAAATGGAAATTTGACTTTTGCAAACGATTGATACCACAAGAATTATATCGAAGTAAACTAGAGACTAATTAAAACATTTAAACATTAAAAATTTATTAAAATGTCAGGTGTTGTAGACTAGGCCATTTAGCTCCTGTTACAAGGTTAACAAAAATAAGATAAACAGAGATAACACCTAACATGTAATTTAGCCAGTAACGTTAGTGTATTGGAGCCGTGGAACATTACAAGATTAAACGTACAGTGGGAGTAGTAGTTTTAAGCTTGATTATTTTGTAACTTTATTTGCTTTATAACATTGTTTGTTTCCTTAAAAAAATGATTTTTTTCTTTTTAATTGTAAATAAATAATGTAATGTGTAATAATTAAACTTTTTTCTTCTCATATCCATACAGCTTTCTAACAGTAGTAATTTAATGTGTATTTTGCACTTTGTAATTTCATGTGTATTTTGTATTCATTTATTTATTTGGATTTTCAGGTACCTTTACTAGAGGCTGGTATTGCAATTCATAAAGTTAAAGCACCAGAAAGTTTAAAACCTTTTCACCAACACATGGAAGAATCTTTTCGAAAACTAAGAGCTAATATTGAAGAAAAATATGGAAAAAAGGTAAGTCACTATATCATGTGAAATATGAAAATAACAAGACCTAACCAAATGCATCATTTGTATAAATTTTTAATATATTTAATTGCCTTACCTAATTATTGCAATTTAGTCCTCATTTCTTTTTCATATTGGCAACAAAGTGAAATATAATACGTGTGAATCAATGAGTCATAAGCATAAATGTGATTCTTAATCAGAAGTGACAAAGTGATTCTTAATCAGAACTTATGGTAGTATATCATAATTTCACCCAAAATTATCTTAGAAATATCACAAACACACAATTATACACTTTTGTTACGCTATGAAACCCTGCTGATCTAACATGCCATTCCTTTAGAAGTTAGGTTGGCATGAATGTTTGCAACTTTGAAAATTAAAAATTTCAGCCTCTTTATTTTATTTTTGTTAAACCTCTTCAACAATAATTTTTCAAGCATCGAAACTTTCTTGGATAATGCTTCTCTAAGTTCCTAAATGTATAATTTCGCTTTTAACAAAGTTCAAGACGAAAAAATAGTTATCGTTTTCCTATTTATTTCAAGTAATAATATTTTATTTCATAACTTATTATTGACTAAAAATTTTAATTTTTTAAAATAGAAATTAGTTTTAAAGATTTGAATAATCGATTTAATTTTTTAAGATTCTATTCTAGAATACATTTCAAATGGGTTTAACTTAAAATATGATGGGGGCCAAATATCGTTTGCGTCGCACACTATATGAAATTCCATGGCAATCTTTGTTGGGACTTTGTCGAATAGGGGGCGGAGCCTATTAGTTGTTAATAGCATGCAATAGTCCAATGTACCTTTGCTCAAAAACTAACTAAATAAATACTAATCTTTAACTATAAAACTTAACATTTAATTAATTACAATCATTTTTACAAAATCTGAATATATTCTTGCAGATGTCTAAATATATTCTCGCTATATAAATATATTCTTGCATATATGTAATCTAAATTTATTCTTGCAAACCTTTCAAATACATCAAATACGCTTGTAAAAAGTGTGAAATTTAATATTAATAAAAAAAATAAGTTCTTCCTTCACATGAGAAAATGAAATAAGAAATTTCCTTTTTCCGTCATTATAGCTATTGCTACTGTTACACCTATTTCCTTGTCTCAACATCTCAAGGTTGGCAAGTTTCTTCCGAGGTGGTTAAACCACTGGTAGAAACTGGTTAAAATTGTCATGGCAGAAACCCTTTTCTGCCACATTTGTGGCAGAAACTGGCAGTAATTCAGAAAATGACATAAAAATAAATACTGAGATTGACATACAATGGATAATTCATAGCAAAAGCAATTAAATGTTAAACAAAGTACAATTTTTTTATAAAATTATCACCATTCAAGATCAAATATTACATTGTTTGCATTTTGCAGTAATCTATAACAAAAGACAAGTTTTGATNATCTTTAACTATAAAACTTAACATTTAATTAATTACAATCATTTTTACAAAATCTGAATATATTCTTGCAGATGTCTAAATATATTCTCGCAATATAAATATATTCTTGCATATATGTAATCTAAATTTATTCTTGCAGACCTTTCAAATACATCTAATACGTTTGTACAGAGTGCGGAATTTAATATTATTAAAAAAAAAAAATTTCCTCCTTCACATGAGAAAATGAAATAAGAAATACCCTTTTCCCGTCATTCTAGCTATTGCCACTGTTACATCTATTTCCTTGTCTCAACATCTACACACTTCTGACTTAATCCTGCATAATATATAACTAATTTTTTTTGTTGGGTTCATTAACTTTTTATCTATACTTATTTTCACAAAATAATAACTTAAATCTTGAATTAAGAATGTTTTTAAATTTGTTTTGAATGTTTAATTTAGGAGCCACCCTCAGAACTACAAGATAGAGTATCTGTAACTGTGCGAAGAGTAAAAACAACTCCTCCAAAATCAAATTCGAAGGAAGAACGTTTATCTGATATTTCAAATTTTGTTTTAGAATCGTAAGTGCATAATTACTGTCATTATTTTTACATGTTTTAAAACTTTAAAATGTCATAGCTGTCGGTGAATAAAATTCTGCTTAATTTAAAAAAATATGAGCCCTGTGTAAAAGTACTATTATCTGTAACTAATTTGTTAGTTAGTTGTATTAAATTGTGTGCATTTCTAAATTTTATTCATTGCTTCATATAGTAAATTATGTTAACTGAACTGCAAACTTTGAATCTTTCAAAAATCATTTATACCCTTTAATTGTTTTACAAATAGCAGAAATTTTTTTGCCAAAGGGAAAAAGTTTTTACTACTTTTTTTTAAAATTGATTTTCTTGAATATTTAGTATTCTGGCAAAAATTCAAAATAAGTTAATTCTGGAAAACGCTTCATCCCTTCAGTTTAGGCAATCACTAATTGAATATAAAAATATGCTCAGTGCCTTTAACCAATGAACCATCACAGCTCAGTCAAATATTTGTGACTATAATAGTTTTTTTTAAGTCTACATCGAGTTCACTACAATAAATTTTTTTAATGAGCTATGGAGGAAAAATTCATAATTTCTGAAAAAAGATAAAAAAAATTGTGGACTATTTCTACTTATAAGTAGGGTCCTATAAATTATGCGGCTAAGATGCGGCGATTTTCAAAAATTATGCGGCAAGGATGCGATGTCTTTTAAAAATTATGCATGCAGAAGTTAGTCCAGAAGCTGCGTTTTCTTTCAAACTCTGTCTTTGTTTTGTAAAAATTTGGCTGTAGCAGGATACAGCTCTTTCACAATCTACTGATTTAAGAAGCACTCAGAGCACTTGTCTTTGCTTTTTTTGTAAGTTCTGGAAATCTCTCTGAGACTACCTCTGAATTCCAGAATCTAATTAAGTCCTGGTTTGAACATTCTTTTACATATTCTTTGTAAGCAGCATTCTCAAGTTTTATATCTTGACCACTCATTCCTGGAATATTCTTGAATACATTGTCGTCTTCAATATTGAGGTTGACTGTTTGTTCTGGATCGAAAACTCGAGCAGCTTTCATGAAGTTTAATGTAGGCTGACTAAACTTGGGCCAGCGTTTTTTGAATACGTCTAGTTCTGGAGAGTAGTAATTATTCAACTTTGCAATTGTTTTGTGAAACACTTCTTGAAGAAATACGTTGCGTGAATCTTTTCGTGAGTATGATGCCTGAGAATTGCATCGAAGTTTAGACCGCAGATCAAAAATCTTATTGTAAGCTTTGTAAATAGATACACCACATGTTTCGAAAAAGAGAGGAGTGTCCATTAATATCTGAGCGTGTTCTGCATTGAACTGAAAGTCTTTGCAAACGTACTTGCTTTCCACCAAAACTTTGCACTGATTGAGAGAAGCAGTGTCAGGAGTAAGGTTTATTTCACTGCTAAAAAATTCTATGTAAACATTACAATATTCAGCATAATATTGCACTGATTTAAACCAGGAATTCCACCGTGTCTTTATTGGTACTGGACAAAGTTTAACTTTCCTATTGTTATCTGTTAAAAACTTTAAATAGCGGCGCGCTCTTGCAGGACAATGCTTGAACAATTTTTTAAAGTTTCCTATGAATTTGTTCACCTCTGTCAGATTCTTGGAAAGATCTGACCACCTGACCAAAAAGATTCTTGGAATTGAAAAAGAAGATATATTTCAATTGAAAAAAAACCCTCAAGGAGAAATTTATCTGGTAAACGAATACATGTTGCTGAAAAAAAAATTATGCAGATATGCTGCGATTACCCGGAAAATTGTAAATTATGCGGATAATTGTGAATTATGCGGGCTTCCGCATCTTCGCATAATTTATAGGGCCCTACTTATAAGTTTATTCAGGATTCTTATATTGGGCTACTTGTTCATTTAGAGTCAGAAAATGTCTTAAATTTTCTTTGATAGTTTAATTTTGCCAACTTTTTTTGTTCATTAAAATAATATGTTTCTTAAACATATAATTTTTTAATAGGTTTGGATTTACTTTTTGAAATGATAATTATCTATATTCCTTGATCCTGCTTAACATTAAAAATTGTTAAAACTGCGATTTAAAAGCTAGTTTTCAATAAAAAAAATTTTTTTTAATTTTTTGATTAATTTTATACCATTCTGAGCATACTAAACGATCTAAAATTTGCTTTGAAAACTGGTTATTTAGTTAAAAAAAATTTTATATGGTAAAAAGGTAATAATTTATGTATTCAAAAAATTTTAGTGTTTTGCGAAAAAAGTTTTATGCCTATGTTATTATAAAAATAAGATGTTTGATTATTGTAAACCATAATTATTATTTTTCACATTTTTTAAAAATGAAAAATATAACAGTTCTTCTGACTTTTTTTTATCCGACTTTCTTTGAAGAAGTGCTTCAAATTTGTTAAAACCTGTAAAGTTTTGTATAAATCCATACCATATCAAGCTATTATTTAATTTGATGATTATTTTTGTAGACCCAGGAAGAATGTGCAATCAAGTATTAGGTAAGTAATGATTCTCTTTTAGAATTTTTTTTCTAAGAGTTAAATGTTTAATGAGAGTTTTAATGTTAAATGTTTATTAAGAGCCACAAATTTCAACTGCTCTCCTGATTAAACTATTGAGATAATATTTTGCAGATTCCAAGTTCCTCTCATAATTTTATAGTCAAAAATCCAAATACATCAGAAATTTTTTTTTATTTAGAGAAAGTAAGTTTCATGTCTGATTCTGTAACTTAATTAATAATTTGCAATATCTAAGCAGCATATTTAAGGTGACACTCATTAGCATTGGCACTTAGTTTATGATAGTTGGATCATTAAAACAAAAATTCTTGAGTTTGATATCTTTTTTATTTTGTGTACTGTTACTGTAGCATTTACTTATGAACAAAATAATGCTAAAAATGCTAAGCTCTCAATTGCCATGATCAAGAGTAATTTTTCATCATTTCTTTTAGTCTCTCATCAACTCAGTCCTCAAAAATATCACCGGGTGTACGTGGAGCCTCAATTTTTGTAAAATCCTCTTCTGTGAGTAATTCTAAAAGCAGTGGCAAGAAAAGTCGAGAAAACTCTACTCTGACCCTTCGTAGGAGCTCTTTCTCATCCGAGAGAAATGAATCTTCACAATCGCAGTGGTATGACACTTCCCCAACAACTCCAAAAGGTGATGGTCCTGTTATCGAACTAAGTGAACAAGTGAGTTTGTTACTATTGTCCTCTTTGTATAGTTCAATGCTTAAATTCTAATGTTGTGGAATATGGTTAATATTATTATGGTTGTTGTACAGAAATATTCACTCATAGAAAACTCTACCACTCGCTCTGAAGAAGTACTCTCTTCAATAGGCAGAAGTACGTGGATTATATCTAATTGATGAAAATATTTTATAAGAACAGGGCTGATTGTGCTCCGGAAAAAATCCGGATTTTTTGCTAACCGTGATCCGGAATTTTCCAGAGATCGAAGGTTCAGACGTTTAAAAAAATCATTGATCACAGAAATTTCCGGAAATCAAATTTTCAAAGGTGGAACTTAAAAACACAGTTTATTTTATTTGTTTGTAAGGGAGAGCCGGAGAGATACTTTATAAGCTTATATTCAAGATTAATATTAATTATTTATCAGTAAATAGTTATTATAATCATAAACTCAAGAAAGAAAGACATATTTGTAAATTTCAATTGCTTCTCCAGGTCATCATAGGTATGCTTAAATGGTATAGGTATGTGTAAAATTTTAAATATATTTTAAGTAAACTAAGAAATATTGAGAAAAAGGAAAAAACCTTGTTTAAATTTTTTTCTAATTTTCCATTTTTATATATTTTTTTTATTTACTCAAGAAATTTTTCAGAATTTCGACTTGAGCTCACAATCACCCCTGTAAGAAGCTCTTCTTGTTTTTATCAGAAGTCTTTAGTAGGGTCCAAATTTACTAAGAATGTTTACAAATTGACTATCCATATAATATAATTTTAACAAATTAAAATATTTAAACGTATTTCAATGAATTTGCATAATTTATTTTTAAAAAAGAAAATTGTAATTTTTCTTTTTGGTGCGAAGATATAATTTTTTTTCTAACGATTTTCGAAAATTGGACTGTGTGATCTATTATATTTTGTTAAAAGTGATTTCTTTTTGTGTAATCATCTGAAGTTTATGTGCTTAACTTCATGGAAATATTTCTTAATCTATGATTTAGTTGACACCAACAAGGCCGTTGCGATCAGAAATGGAAAAACGATATAGCCGACCTTCAAGTGGTCAGTTTCGCCACCAAACTCCTTCACCAACTGGAATGAACAGATGTAAGATATAGTCATGCAGAAACATTTTTATTTCTTTTGTTTTAATTTATTTAAAAATATATATATATTTTTTCAATTGAACACTTTCAGCACCAAGCTCATCACTGTATTCTCTATCATTGCCATCAACACCTTCAACATTATCTTGCATTTCTCTTACTAACACTCATGACAACGGAGAAGAGAAACCTCCTCCCCTGCCTCAGAAACAAGCTTATGCAGATTATACTAATATAACTGAAGATATGCAGTTCAGTACAATTCCACGTAAAAATTCTGTGTCTTCCTTTACATTACGTGCTAAAAATAAGGTAAGCACAAATGGTCAAGTACTTCATGAAAATTTTTTGATTTTATTACCCTAATACTATTCTTCCTGTTCATTTTTTAATTGTTTAAACATTGATCAACAAGTGAAAGGATTAAAAAAAACTAGCTATTATGATAAGGTTTAAAAAAGACTTACTAGTATATTAATTTTCAATCGGAAATAATGGCACGACATCATGGAAAAAAAAAATTCTGTGTTTTCTGTTTTTGTTTCTTTTGCTGTCGTTTGTTAGCAGTTGAATTTCGTGTTCGTAGTCAGAACAGTTATTGTATTGAATTAAATGTGGTGCGTAGTTGTTCAAGGTTCAAAATATCAACAATAATTGTTTAACAACGGCTGTAATAATGATGAAATAAGTGCCAGGAATCTTTTAGTGCTTGTTGGGACGGGGGTGTCGGATAATCTGAGTTCTACTGTATATGGAATCTATCAGAGAGACTAATATCATTTTGGACTGAGTTACCACTCTACAGGGGCATGTGGAAAATTGGAAAATGCAGGGAATTTTAAATTTTTCTTTACAAACTGGGAAAATACAGGGAATTTTATTTCTTATTTTTGTCTTTAAAAAATTGCTGTCCTCTCTCCAACAGATGACACTTGAAAGTGCAATCTATTAAATATTTATAGATGATAGTAGCTATACCTCACCTCATTCACCCACCTATACTATACCTCATTTACTATAGCAATATTTGTTTTAAGTATATTGAGCTGTTGTTTTAAGTATGTTGCTGTTCTAGCAATTGAAATTACCTGTAGTTGTAATGAAAGCTCACACAAGAGCATAGTGATTGCGTGTTTCCTCTTAATATATTGTAATACTTAATATATTGATTTATATGTACATGAATTTTTTTTCTAGATTTAAGTGGCAAACATGTTGGATACCAGCTTTTTCAGTTTTTTTTGTTTCTCTAAAGAATAGCAATTATTGTTAATCTAAAATATTAATTATTTTAATAAGATAAGGATAAAAATAAAGAAAAATAATACAAAAATAGCAGTTAAACAAATTGCCTAATGTACGTAAACATATTACCATAATGGAAAACAGAAAATTTTGAAGTAATGTAATTTCACACGAAATAATTATAGTAAAATCATTTTTATTGACTAAAGTAAATGTGTACAGTAAGCCATCATTGTTTTCGTGACAAAATGTCACAATTTGTCTTATTACCTCTTAAAGATGACATGGGAAAGATATGTAATCCCTCCAAGCATTCGGGAGCTATTAAATGACTATTAAAATGTGAATTGTAACTGGCTATCCATAACTGGTTATTAAAATGTGAATTTCAATACAATTTTCCAATATCATCTTTAAGAAAGTTATAAGCTTGGGATATTTTATTATAAAACATAACGAGCTCATGTTAGCTAAAAAAAGAGAAGGTATCAGACATAATTTCTAATAACTTTACTTCGAATGATCAGATTTTCATTGACTTAGTGTCAATCTTAAAGGTACAAGTTTTGACTCCAAATATGCTGATTAATTAGTGCTATCTATTAATTTAGTTACAAAATTAGGCACAATATCATAGTTTTTTGGAATGTACATACTCTTTTTTTTAACATCGTTTCGGTTTTTGGTCATCAAAGGAATAGGTGACTGCTATTTGGAAAATAAGGTCCCAATAGTTTAGTCAGGAGAGCACTTTGAAATTAGATCCCCTTAATGTTAATTTTACTTTTTGTGCATTTCTAAGCATTCTCGAGAATTTCTAAGCAAATCGAAGCATTCTTTTACACAATTATAAAACATGTTTATCTTAAAATTATTTTATGCAAAAAAATTTATAATTTTTAATACATATTTACTATTTTTATTATCTAATTAACAGCTAAAAGTGTTTTGATTCATAACTTTAAACTATGTAATTTTAAATGTCAAATTCTAAAATATTAAAGAAAACAGACATATATTTTTTAAGAAATTAAAATTTGAAAATATGTTTTTTTTTTTTAAATTTTATAACTCAAAAACTGTTTGATTTTGTTTTATATTCATTTATTTTAGAATTCAGCTATTTAGTACTTATCACAAGCAGCTACTTAGTAATTACCAAAAGCAATGTTTGATCACAAAATTCAGTATTAAAAAAAATATTTTCATATTGAGGTTAAATTTAAACCAATCTAAACTTGTTTTGAAATTTTAATTTATTGAGTGAAGTGATAATTTTAATTTCCTTCATCCTTAATTTTACAACTAATAATCCTAAAATCTGGATATAAAAGGAAAAGACTGTCCTTCAATTTCTTTAAATAAAAGGGTGTGGGTAATTTAATTTTGGGAGAAAAAACAATTCATCAATATTTTTATTGTGACAAATAAAATTTTAATATGCTTTTTTTAAATTTTATTTATTCATTCCATTCATGTAAGTCACAATGACTAGATTTCTTAAGAAGATAGTTATTAATGCACACTTTGTTTGTAGCTGTGGAATATTCCAAGTAAATTATATTTTAAGGAATTTTTTTATTATCATTCTGGATATATGAATTGTGAAAAAATGTTTGAGTTTTTCTACCTACACTCTGTGCTCTTGTTTTACAACTGTTTCCTGTTTGACCATTTCATATTAGCCTGTTTCAGTGCAAGTCTCATTTCTTGCCAATACACGTGTGTTTTAGGTTAACTCCTTACAATGTCCTGCTTATACATTTGCTTGTGCAAATATAAATTTTCAAAATTAATGAAACACACACAAACCTCACGTGGAAACTAAATCATTGCGTGATGCTTGAATTCAACATATTGAAATTTGATTTTCTAGTTACTCGTTAAGGTAAATGTTGATACTAACGACCTGTTTTGAAAGGCCCATATCTCATTTGAAATTATACATGATTTGCTAACAAAAAATGCAATTTCCATAATTTCCTTTTTTTCTTATTTTTAAATTTTGAACTGCTGATGACAAGCAACCTGAGTAGCCCAAATAAAGCCCACCAAACTTGCTTCCTCACTATTTAATCAGGCTTATCTGTTACTTTTGGCATTAATGTCTAAAGGGTGTGACTTATTAAAAAATTGTTTTGAAATTAACAAATCATTTTAATTATATTAACCAGTCTTCCAAATATTTGCACTATTTAAATGAAATTATGGCCATATAACATCTATTTACTATAAGAAATATGTTGTGGTTCCTTTTTCTTATTGCTAAGAACAGAAGGTTATTCAAAAGACCGGTAAGTTCAGAATTCTGGGTACCTATGCTTCCCTTCATCCTCCTTTTTACAGAGATGATTATGCTCTGGAAAAAATCCGGATTTCCAGATTTTTTGTTAATTGCGATCCGGAAGTTTATGGAAATCCAAGGTCTAGAAGTTTTAAGAAATCACCGACCACATTTATGTTTAAAAACTCTTGTGTTTCTTGTTCTTCTCTATGTTTAAAAACTAAAAGACTTAAAACTCTTATTTAAAAATATTAGAACTATATCTATTAGAATTTATTACTATTAGAACTATTAGAATTTATTCTTGGCATCTCTTTCATTTGTAAATATTTTTTCTGGTAGAATAATAAATATGATTAGTGATAAAAGTTAACTTATACATAATTATTCATGTAAATTAGGTTGCATATAATTTATTTTAAATTTCATGTTTTGAATATATCATTGATAAAGGCATAAATTTTTTGAAGTGAGTTATTAATGATTTTACTCAAGAAATTTTCAGGATTTTTGAGTTCGGCTCACAATCACCCTTGTTTTTTATTAAAACGGACTTCAAATGTAAAATATACAATCAGCAATAAAGATGTCTAGCAAAGATCAGTGTGTATAATACTAACGGAAAATCTGTATTATAATTTTTATTATTTCATAGCCACCTCCACCACTACCAGTTAAAGAAGGAAACATGTCATCAAGTCCTAGATCTTCAATAGATGAGACAAATTCAGTTCCTGAACTTCCTGAAAGACCTACTAAATCATCATCAACAGAGTCTCCAAGCAGTTGATGAAATTGCTAGTCATTTTCATTTCATTTGCCAAATGCATGAACTGTGTCATAGCTGTGATGTTATATTTTTTCTCAAGAGTTTTTGTGCATTTCTTGAATATGTTTATATGGTTTGTGTCATTGTGATTTTTAATATTGCAATCATCTAGTGTCATTTGTTTTTAAAAAAAAGAGGAAAAATTTATTGTATAATTATATTTATAAAGCATGATCTTGTCAGATTAAACTATAAATGTATCATTATTGCCAATTTTGCTGAAGTTGTTTCACCGTACAGTATTTATGTACATTGTTATTAAACTTTTAATTATTGTTAAATAATTGTTGTATTTTTCTTAGTATATTTACATAAGTGCATTTAAAGAATAATGATACTATTTTTCCATTAAAAGTTTCTACAATGACAATGCATTAATATATATTTTCAATATATATTAATGCATTTTCATGCATATCTCAAAAGATTGCTCAATAATGAAATATTTTTCTTACCTCTTTATGATCTTTTATGATATATTTTTTTATCAGAATTTATTTTACTAGAACGCAAAGCAAATTTATGTTTTGTTCCTAATTTTATAAATAATAAAAAAGCTTTTTTTTAAAATTTATTTAAAAAAATTTATTTTAATTATAAAACAGTTTTAAAATTGGTTTTTATCAATCGTCACTGATTATAAAATTTGGTTATAGAAATCTTCAAATAAGCCATGCAAAATAAAAAAAACTTTTTAATATTTTTTAAAAATGAAAATCAATTTTGATATTTTTTCTTAAATCATTCTGTTAAATAGTATATTTAAATTTTTTTTATGCTTTATTTGCTCCTAAAAAACAAATGTAAATTTTACTGTTTCTGTTATTCATTATGTGTTGCATGAACTCCAATATTGCATTTAAAAATAAAGTATATGTCTAAATTGTATTCTGAATAAATGTAATTAAAATATGACATTTAAAAATAGATTATTTCTAAATTATATACGAATTAAATGCTACTAATTTTCTAAATTATATGCCAAATGAATGTAATTAAAATATATGCTGATTCTATGCTTAAATTCTAACTTTTTAAATTTTAAGCTGAAAAATGTAATTAAAATAAAATATAGCATTTAAAAATAGATCATTTCTAATTTATTTGCTTATTGATTGTTACTAAAATTCTAAGTTGTATACGGAATGAATGTAATTAAAGTCTAGCGTGCATTTGTATTTGACTATATTATTCCTAAATTTTCTGTTTTAGCTCTACATCAAATATAGTCATCATTATGAGGGAAATCTTCAGTTTTATTTTTATTGTTTTTAATATTTATTGAATAAAATTTAAAATATCAATTTATGAAACGTTGCTTTTTATCAATAAATATTTTTTTGTACCGTCTTTGTCGTATTTTATTTCTGTCAAGAACTGCAAAATATTTGACTTGTTCTAAAAATAAAACCAGAACTCCCCTAGGTAAATGAATCATAATGTTTTTAAATAAAATAAATCATCCTTTTTTAAAAGTGGAGTTCAATTCTAATTTTATGCTCACAAAAAATAAAATTACAGAGAAACCCCAGACACTCTATAGACCCAAATCTATAGATCTTATAAAAAAATACATAATTATAAATAATGAATTATATTGAACTTATTACAAGGAATAAAACTTAAATAATAATGGTTAAAAAACTATTAAAATTCAACCATTTACTTCAAATAGTTTCCCCCTCCCCACTTTTTATCTTTTAAACTTGTCTTAAAATTCAAAACCTTTTTGAACATTAAACGCTTTCTTTGTTAGTTTGGTCTTTTGAGTTCCGCGAAAGGCTTTCCAAAAAATGGCGGAAGAAATTTAGTTAGGAAGATTATAATTTAGCAGGTGGTCGCCCATGCATTTCTTTATAAATATTCGGGGTTAAAACTGCAAGAAGGAAATCTTACAGTTTTAACCCCGTATGTTCTTTACCCCCTTTTCTACTTTGATACCAGATGCAATTAAACATTCTTTTCATTTAAAACTTTTCTCCTTTAATATTGCTGTCTTAAACAGCAAACAAATCTTTTGTTTCGTGATTTCGGTAGGCTAGTAATTTTTGACTTGTTAAAAATTATAATATTGATACCTTTAATGTTAGCCTTTCGATGGTGATTTGAAAATTTGTCATAATAGCGTACTTTTCGTAATGTGCCGTATTTAAATAAAATGAGACTGAATCACAAATAACATTTTTATTAACAGGCAAAATCAACAGTTACAAGAGACTTCACATAAAAATCTTTCTTAACATAGTATTTCACCGAAATCCATGATTTTTAACCAAAAATATTTCGTTCATAAAATACAAAAATTTCGTAACAATATATAAAAAAGCGATTTCATCTCGTCCGATTTAAATCGGATTCAATGCACTAAGATTCTTCAATATCTACATCAAAGCTATTTTGGTTTATAATGTATAACGCGTTACTATATTGAAGTTACTTTTTGTACGTACATAAGTACTCGCCTCTTGGTGTACTTATTGAATAAAAACAAATTTCACTTTGGTCATAGGCCATTTAAAATATTTCATAAAATTTTAATTTTGTATGGGAAGTTCTCCAAGTCCCTACTTGTTATTTTGACTAAATCATTCTTGAAATTTACATATTTATATCTTACCAGTAACTTTAAATCAACTTTTAAAACCATAAATAATGTAGCAAAAAGTAAATTTATCGCTCGGGTACTATAACATCTAACAAGTGCCATTATAAATGTTGTGACTGAAAACTTGGCATAAATGATGGTACTTATTTAGAATCGAAACATGCGTCCATTATTTTGCTATATTATTTGTGCTTACATCAAAGGTGATCGTTTTTTATCTTTATTCTTTTATAATATGGCGCATGCTACATGCTACTGTAAATGTATGGAAACCGGCCTTCTATAGAATGCCCCGTCATTAAATAGAATTTCTGAAATTGACCAGCAATATATTAATTAGACAAAGTACATAATGATTTTCACATTTCATACTTAGCCTGAAAACTCCATGCATTGTCTACAATCACCCTTCTATATAATGCATAGTCATTGAATATAATTCCTAAAATCGACCAATAATACAATGACTCGGCAAAGTACAGTGCTCAAAAAATAAACGGACAACAAGGAATAAACTTTGATCTAATGATCATGTTCTAGGACTCAATCTTAATGATTCGAACGGTTGACCTCAAATATGTTAATTAATTAAAGCATACGATATTTCAAGTTACGAAATCAGACGCAAGACGTACTTTCTCTGATTAAACATACCTGTTTTACGAAGAATTCGGAATTCTGACCCCCAAAATAAAGGGAATAACCGTAATCTAGAGAGCAGTCCAGAGTTTAGACCCCTTGATGCTTTTATGAATTTTGCCATATCTCTAGAACATTTTAAGCGAATTGAAAAAAATTTTGGGGCATAATTTTAAATCCGTTTATATTCTAAGATAATTTCATGCAAAAACTAACTTTTAATTAATATTTATTCTTTTTGTTATTATTTTATTTAATAATGGACTGAAAATTTTTCAATTGAAGGTATATTGTTTTTAACATCATTTCAAGGAATTTAATTTTACATGGCAATATACAAAACGTAAGCGAAATTGGTCGATTACTTGTAATCGAATTTTAAACAAGTTGTCTAAATAAAATTCGATTTCTCAGAAATTATTCGACCAATTTTGCTCAAATTTTATATTTTGCCATTTAAAATTGCATTATTTGAAATACTGTAAAGAATTGTATTAAAAAATTGTATACAATACAATTCTTTTTAGTATTATTGGATAAAATAACAGATATTCGAACTAAAAGTTATATTTTGTATAGAATTAACTTTGGATAAACGATATTTATAATTGTTTCCAAAATTCTTTAAATTCGCTTAAAAAATTCTGGAGTTAAGATTAAATGCGCAAAAAGTTCAAGGAGTCCAAGCTCTGTACAGCTCTCCTGATCAAGCAATTTCGACCATATATCCTAGACTGCTGCTACCCCTTAAAAATTTGGGGGTCGGAAATCTGAATCCCTCGAAAAAAAGGTATGTTTATTCAGAGAAAGTACGTTTTTGTGTCTGATTTTGTAAATTAAAGTATCGTCTGCACTTATTTATTAGCATGTTTGAGGTCACTCCCTCGAACCTCCAAGATTGAGTCAAAAGACGAAAAGATCCGATCATTAGATTAAAAGTTATGCTAGGTGAATCTTCTTTTATATGCACTGTACATAATGATTCTCATATTTCGTACTTTTCATAAAAGCGCCTTTCATTGCATACAAAGACAAGGCATTTTATAGAATGCTGGCATTTCGTAAGTTGATGATGAAAGGTGTATGCAATGTTGAGTCATTGCATAAAAGTCCTAAAATCAACCAGGCAATACACTCATCAGACAAAGTGCGTAATGATATTTCATCTGAAAACGTTAGACATTGCATGCAACGACACTAGGCATTTATAGAATGCTGGTTTATCTTACATTGATGGCAACAGATACACGCAACATGTTAGAAAGTTTCAATTTTTATATAAAAAATTAATTTTAGTAATTTTTATTTAGCATTTCGTCTAACTATAACTAAATTAATATTAAGTTTTGCATAATATATAAAAATCAGAAGATTTCTGTAATTTACAAAGAATTTTTTTTTTCATTTTTGCTGATCCAAAAGACGTATAGTTAACCTTTACACCTTGGATAGCAAAGTCAGAATCTAAAATATGATATAAACAGTATAGAGAAATTGGAGTAAAAATCTTAACTTTCACAGTTTTTGGATATTTGTGTATGTTTTAATATTAAGTACTAAGTTAAATTAATAATGTCGGTTGTTATTATGGTTTGCGCATGATTTTACAATTTGAAAATAAATATTTCTGGAAAAATTTTAATTGTGTTACGAGGCTTTTTCGGAAAGTAAAGACACCTCAGCGATAGTAGCAAAGGAAAAGTTTCTGTGAGTCCGTACGGACTGTAACCTTGGACGTTTCACTTATCACTTGAGATCATTTCCTATTTTTACAGTGAGCCTTATTTGAACATCACGTCTTTGTCTGCGTTTTCATCATGGAAAAGATTTTGCTTACAAAATGTCATGAAAAAGGTATACAAAAGCCCTACAATTCGAAACAAACGCAGGGATTTGCTGAGAAGCTTGCAGCATGATAACGCTCGTCCTCACACAGCGCTTCAAACCAAAGCAGCACTACTCTAGAGTTTTAAATGGAAAATTTTAGATTATCCGCTTTACTGTCAGAACCTTCGCACTTTCGCTTATTTCTTTACCTGAAAATACCTCTTGCAGAGCAAAACTTTCACGAAAATGAGACATAACTTAAGTTGAAATGTGGTTCCGACAACAAGTGGCAAAGTCTTAACTTAACAAATGCTTTGAGAATTGCGAAAAATGAAGTATAATTTGTAAGTAATTTGTAATTTAATCAATTAAAATGGTTTCAAGAGAGAATGCAGCAGCAGCAGCAGCTTTTTTTTTTTTTTTTTTTTTTACTTTTCGAAAACGCCTCGTATTTATTAATCATCAGATGAAAGCTTGTTGCAGATTTTATACATCTATTATCACGCCAGAGCCGCATTACATTTAATCAAAAAAG